GCAAACAGAATATCTTACTATATACAATTAGAAGCACCTAACAGACACTTTTGACATGATGTCTAGAGCTCTCCTTAGCTAAGACTCCTAGTTCATTAGATACATTTTTTATCTCCCAAATTACTGTAGGCAGTTGGCTAGACATTTTGCCAATTGTTTCACTGCTACATAACACTGCTAACCATATTCCCAGTCTTCAGTAGTAGTTTTCTTACCACTTTTCTGAGGCTAGACCTGGCTTCTTCATGTGGTAGTCTCAGGTCAACATTTCAAGAGGGTGAGAGCAGAAGCGGTAAAGCTTCTTGATGCCTCATTTTAGAAGTCACACAAAGCCACTTACAACATATTATATTTGTCAAAGCAAGTCACAAAGCCATCCCCATTCAAGGAGTGGGGAAATAGTCCCATCTTTTATGGAAGAAGTGGAAAAGTCAGATTGCAAAATGGTAGGAATAAAAGGAGTAGGAAAAATTTACTGTGGCCATTCTTGCCAGCAAAACGATGACATTGAGACAAGTGTGAGGCTAGAGAATGAAGATACTTTCAGACATAAAAGTGATCAAAAACTTATCCTTTCAGGAAACCACTAGGGTATGTATTGACAAACATGAGAATATAAGTCAAGAAAGAATAAGACAAGTGAGAGAAGACAAGGAACTCTCCAGGAAGATAGGGCTGAGAGAGCCACATTCCAAATGAGAGACGGAGCATCAAGGACTCCCAGAGGAATATCTCTGAAAAGGATATCTTAAGAGAAAACACAGCACTGAGAAATTATTTGGCAGTATTGAAAGAGGCATTTTCAGGGCTGTTGCAGGATATGAGAAGACCTAACCAGCTGTTCAAGAAAAAAAATAAGCAAGTGAAAAAAATTGAAGCAAATATTAACTTCAGAAAAACAAAAAGTTGTACAAGAAAGGTCATGTAAACATGTGCACTACTTGGCACAAAAGTAAACAATATAAACATAATCTTACATTTTAAAAAATCACTGAATAGGAATTTAATTAAAATTGTGATAAAACTATATTGGGAAGATGAAGAAAGGGAAATGGTCTGCAATGAAGTGAAAATCCTCATTTAGCACAAAAGAAAGCCAATGTATTATCTAAAATTCATAGTTCAAAGTATATTAGTGTATTTACATTGTTTAGAAATGGGTGTCTCTAAAAAAAAAAAAAAAGAAACAGGTGCCTCTGAGAAGTAGGGTGGGGTGGGAATGGGGGTTGTAAAATAGGGAGCTGATTTTTTTTGTTATAACTTGTATTACTCTTGACATTTTAAATTAAAAGAAAGCATTATATTACTATAAGAGAATGATTTAAAAAATAAGTTGAGGAAAAAACATGGGCTATTAATCAAGAGAAAAATATTATTGCTAAAAGCAGTCTCAAGGGAATGGTTGGGGCAAAAATCCTTAAACGAATTAAGGATAATTTATGTAATTAGAAATTTTAAAGGTTTTACTTTAGTGCCAGTTGCTATTTGAAGTTTTAAGACTAAAACTGAGTAAGGCAAATTCCAGTCCTGGAAATCTTATAGTTTAGTAGAGCATAGGTAAAATACAGGTAAGCATGTATGAAAAGTGCTACAATCGGGACATGTAGAAAGTAGTCTAAGACCACAGAGGAAGGAGAGACAATCTTCTTTTGGGGTGGAGCTGGAGATGCCTTTCTATAAGAGTTGACCTTAGAAATGAGTGGTGAAGGGTAAGTGGCTTCAGCTGGCCAACTCGATAGGATAGAGTGTTCTAGGTCGAGAAGCTCATCATGCAAAATCCCAGCATGTTTGGGAAAGGGTAATAAATTCAGTGTGGCTTGAAATAGGGTACCAAGCAGGGAGTGACCAGAGATGAGCCTGGTGTGGTAGACTGGGGAAGATCTTAGAGGTTTTTGTGAGTCATGCTAAGGGAGTTGGCATGTAAGGATTTTACCCTAAGATATGACACATTAAATGCCCATCTTAGAATGATCACTGGTTCTGGGGAAGCCAGTAGAAGATCAAATTAGGAATTCGCACCTGAGGAAGGGAGACCCGCTAGAAGACTAGCAAAGGCAGTGAGAGCTGGACAGGAGGAAAGAGTTGAGAAATATTTTAGAGACTGATTCAGTGACAGGTCATAGTGACCAACTGCAAGATAGAGGAGTCAAAGATGACTCTGAGGTTCACTCATTCATCAGACATCTATTGTGTGCCTTTTCTGTGCTAGGCTCTCTGCCAGGCCCTGGCGGGGGTGGGGGGAGTCATACAGTTGAATACAGTATGGTCATTGCCTTAGAGGAGCTTTTCGTTTAGTGGGAACATAGGAATAAATTAACATTAACTGTAGCTGTGATGCCCTATTCTCAAGAGGGGAGCAGAGTCCAGAGGGACTCAGGAAGAAGCTGCCAAGGAGGAAGAAGGAGAAGAGCCCAGAGTTGGTAGAACTGTGGAAGCTGGGAGAAGAGAGTTTGGGAGGAGTGGTCCATGGTGACAGATGCTACCAAGAAAGTGGGCAGCTGGGCTGAGATGTCCCCTGGATGAGGCAGTTAGGAGGGCAATGACGATCTCAGAACAGCAGGAGGTGCCCATCAGGTGTCACAGGACGTGGAACAAAGAGCTGGTGAGGATGCTGAGGAAGGAATATAGTTCTCTCTTTCAGAGGCCGGTCAGGAAGTGAAGGAGAGATAAGCCAGTGAGAGGCAGGCTTCGTAAAGGTACAGCTTTTAAGATGGAAACCACTTGGGTATTTTTTTTTTCCTTATCGGGACCAGCTACCTAATTTGTAGAGCCCAGTGCACAATGAAAATTTGGGGCCTCTTGCTAAATTATTAAGACTTGTAAGACAGCAACAGCCGAGCACAAAGCCAGTGTGGGGTTCTTCTAAGTACAGGGCTCTGTGAGACTGCACTGGTCACACGCCAGGAACCCAGTCCCAATTCTCAGGGGAAGGAGCCCAGGGAGGAAGGAAGAAGGGGGCTGCTTCAGTAACAGAGCCTGGTCCCAGAGCAATTGGGAAGGGAGGGACTCAGAGTCTGGATGGAGGTAGAGCCTTGAGCGAGAAAAAAACAAGGTTTTGGTCATCTCCTCAGATGTAGGAGAGGGAGGATGTGGATGGAAGATGGAGAGGAGGGGGTGCTGGGAGGGGAGGACTTCATCCTGGAGACATGAGTTTCCGTACTGAATAATCTGTAGGTAGAAGGGGTAAATGGGTCACCGAGAGTGGCCCCGTGGTCAGCAGGCATTGGCAGATGGGGCAGGGGCAGAAGCCAGCCTGGGACTGACAGATAGGTGAGGCCCAGGGGGTGGTGTGGCAAGAAGGTCCGAGAGGGTGCGCTGGGATTCATGTTGGGACAGTGAGGAGAAATGGGGTGGCCAGAAAGACAGGTGGACTCCCTCAGTGAGGAGGGAGTTGGGGCTGACAGTGGGAGGGTAGGAAGCCCCTGGCAAGGGAGTAGAATTTGGGGGTTTAGTATTCTGGCCATGAGTTGATGGTGAAGTTGGTGTAGGGCCGGCCCAGAGAACTCATTCAAAGAGCAAGTAAGGAGCAGAAGTAAGGAGAGCTGGGAGTTCTTCTGGAATGAGCAGAAGTGTCATGGATCATTGTCATTTTAAGACCAGGCGTAAGTGCTGCATGTGTGACAGGAAGAGTCTGTGGATAGAAGGAAAGCTAAAGGTGCTGGTGAAGGGGGCGCCTGGCTGGCGCATTCCACGGAGCATGCGACCCCTGATCTCGGGGTTGTAAATTCCAGCCCCGTATTGGGTGTACAGATTACTTAAAAATAAAATCTTAAAAAAAAACAACAAAAAACAGGTGCCAATGAAGGGCCTAAGTATGGGACAAGGGTGTCTTTCCTCTTGAAACCAGAAGGAAGGGAGAGAGACGTCACAGAGCCGCCTTGTAAACAGACTCGGATGTCAAGAGCGATTGCGTATTAGCCCAGGGACCTATATGAGGTATGAGGAACCCCCAACTTGGCCACAGCCTGCGAAAGGAGAGAACTGTCGAATTCTTATTGGAAACGGAGGGGGTCGCCCGCGAGCAGCGAGGAGAGCGCTGGGAGGCGGACAGGAGTCCCGGTGCTCCCGCGTGCAGGCTGCAACGCTTCCTTCCACGTCCCTCGGTCGCGAGCGGGTCTCCAAGTCTCCGCCGCCCCTCCGCAATTCGGTGACCTCGTCCGCAGCGGTCCGCGGCGCCACAAGGTCCAGTTAGGGCTTTCGGGGGACCGAATTGGTCAAGAGGCGGCAGTGATACAGAGGGTCAACTAGCACCCACCAGGTGGCCCCGGTGTCACGCCCGGCCCTGGGGTCCTGGGGCAGAGCCTCGCAGTCCTCCAGTCGTCTCTCCTAGCGCCCCCTGCGATTGTCTGTTAGGAGCTGCGTGGGTTCCCCGGCTCACCCTCCTTTTTCTAAGGTTCCTTCTCCCCAAGGGAAACCTCCCGGTCACCCCTGCCTGGGCTCCCGGTGGCTGCCACCACCCCGCTTGCTGCCGGGGGCCGGCTCCCTCTCCTGCAGGCGCCCAGCTGGGGGTTTTCAAATCCAGGCAGCAGGAGCCCGACGCCGCCGCCTTCATCTGGAAGGGGTTAAACCCTCTCCCCGAGGGGGGAAGACAGGATGGCCATTCCCTCCGGTTCCCGGAGCTCGGCGGGGTACAGCTCCCTACGCCGAGGGGCGCACGTGCAGCGGGCGGCCCAAGCGGCGCGGGTGCTGCCGGAGTCAGCCCGCCGGGGATGCCCGCCCCGCCGCCGCTGGCATTGGGCTTGGCGCAGGAGTGCGGATGCCGCGCTAGCCGTTCTCCCTTTCCCTTTCCCCGCCGCAGGTCCCGCCGGTCGGGGCAGCGGGGCCGGGCGCTAGGGGCCGGAGGAGGGGAGGAGCCGGAGAAGGAGGGGACAG